CATTCCCTCCAGGCAGGCTAGATCCTTCTGATCCTGCTGCCATTGATCAGAGTCATCAGAGAATACGAGAATTGGAGATCTCCGCACTGGACGTCAGCACGCCCGCTGGCCATGCACCATTCCGGCCCCCATTGGAATCCTGCTTCCATCGGCCTTGTGCTGGTCGCGGTGCTTCTTGCTCCCGCATCCGCTGAAACACGCTGAACCTTCTTTTCCACTAGATTACTAGTAGTATCTACTCCATATTGTGGTCAGATTAAAAACTCAATAGTTATACGTTCCCTCATCGCACGAAATATGATTCGGTTATGTTCGGCTGACAGTATCCCCACCTCCTTCCTTCTTCCCCTCTTTTTCCCTTCAGCCAACATCTGCTGGCGTGATGGAGTCCCACCCTATTTTAGTAGTCTTCTACAACGTTCCTCGCGTGGAAGGTCAAGCACAGGCAAGATCGGCCTGAATGGTCGCCCTATTATGCCTCCACCAGAACCATGATCTTATCGGCTGGTCGTGGCCTTGCGACCACGTGTGACCAGCGATCTCGATCTTCCTCAACTACCACAGTACAACCCATAAAGTTTTTATCCTGGAGATGGTGGATGCTACCTCTCCAGTTACTTAGAACCACTAAAGATACTTCACAGCGTCTACAACAACTTTAATGCCAACTCCAATCAAGCAGGATCTATCCAAGGATCGGAGGTTATTACCATCCGAGAAGGATTGCCAGAATCCGTGGCTATTTCCCACCTGCCGACCAAGTGGACCCATGAAGATCCCTACCCGCCACAGCAATGGCACAGAATCCAAGTATGTTGGGTGGGGGAAGAGTGTCAGATCGAACGATCAGCACCTTGCCACCTGCTACTTCTGTTTAGCATCCAATATCTCGATGAGTCGATATACTCCCTGCGTATCCAGCAGCTCAGGGCTACAGGAGGATTCTCCCGGCGATCCACCCGTCTTCCTCTTGGGGGCCATAACCCTCCTCCCATTATTCTTCACGCTGTATCCCATCCTCGATCCTAACTTTGCCGTGACGTAACCTGGCCGGATTGAACGCCCGGAGCCGTATTCTGAGCTAAGCGAACGACGCAGCCTGCAGAATATGACAGGCCAATAGACGCACTGGCAGTTGCTTCAGATATCACCATGTCGATCAAGCTTCCCTTCTCTTCCTCCTCGCGAGACACATTCCCCTCTGGCTCGAACGTATGCTCATCTCTGCAGCATTCTGATACAACTGAGCCACTGCAAGCCGTCAGACCACAATGTCCCTCTCGTAAACATCGGTAAGATGGTAGGAGCCGCGTCGATCCCACGGCTTGCTGGCCGCAACGAAGCATTGGGTAAGCCTTCCAAGCCTTGTTGGTCTACCTTGGCTTTGCTTCCGTGAGGATCTTCTTGAGCCTTCGACGACGAACACGAGCCGCACCTGATTATAGCATCCCTTACATCAGCTGAACTTGAAGTGTAGACTTGGTCGTCCAACCAACATCCCAGTGCCTACTTGTTTGGGATCTGACGTGAAGTTGCGAGATAACACACTTCGCAGTAAATGGCCAGATTCTTATATAGATAAAGTCGCTCATGACATCAGAGATGTTACAGAACAACGTGTCGGTCCCACTCAGCTTCAACAACCGCCGTGGCTCGGCTCGTGCAGAGTTATACAATCTCTCCACACCTCCATATATGGATTCGTGGCGAACCGAGACTTGAAACAAGACTATCTACTCCATTATCTTTATTAGCAGCTGCATCCTTGCACAGCCTGCCTCTGAGCTTTCTGCCTACCTCGGCACTGGGGCTGTGAAGCTGACTCATGCACAACAGGCGTTAAGCAACTATGAGATTTGCGATTCTGAAACCAACTATCAGGCATCGCTTTTACTAAAAGGCTGCCTAGATAATCCAACATGCCGACATGTGAAATTATTTACATAGCCAAGCTGCTTCTAGCCTGTCCAAACGGGAATCAACTAATATATACCCTTGATTCTACCTAGTATCCACTGGATTTTCAGAAACCATCTCAGTTGTTTGTCACTTTCATTTGTCTGTTGCACAAAACTTCCGCTGTTTCGTTAGGTAATAGTCAGGGCAGGCCGCGAATCACTCCGGCATCGCTACTTAACCAATATTGCCGTTGTCTGGACCAAGCGAGCACTAGACTTGAGTTGTACACTTGGACTCTACTATTTGCGAGCGCAAAAGGAGCAATGATTCACCCCTTACAGATTTGGCTCAGCGATACTACAGAACTCTCTTGGCAAACACATTGCCACAGTGCTTATGAAGGTAAGTCTTGGGTGGGAAGACATCTAATCTCAAACTTCGCTTATTATCACTGCTTCTTCCTTTACAGCAGAGTCGCTAGTGTCAAACTACTCAAATAAGCTTGTCTAGTGGGTCAGTTGATAGTGTCGGAATTAGCGCTGTCTTTCGATACAGACATTCCCTTGCTTAGCACAAGCAATCGGCGAAGGGACACGTGGTTGCGGAATTCCTAAACTTGCAGAAAGCAAGGGATTTATCTACAGCAGCTGTTGAGCTGGCACTAGATCATCAGTCTAGGTGCTTAGTGGGCAAGAGGAATGCCTGTCTAGTGTCTACACTCTACAATGCCGTGCGGCACGTGGTTGCAACATTCCTATGAAAGTAACAGTCGCAGTTTAAGCTTGTTGCCTCACATCGGATCTATCCGGATCGCTACAGAAGATACAGTTAAGATACAATCTAGCTACTGCAGCATTCCAATCATATGCACCTGTCCTCATCGACTCGCGTGGTTGGCATTCCACGTGCAACTACCCGGGAAGAGTATGCCGCACACCGAAAGATGCTTCTGGCACCTACTATCCTGTCAATTAAAAATCCACTACAAATGTCCACCGAGTACCGATACTTTGCAGCGGATAGTGGAGCCCATTAGTTCTAACCGAGCTGGAGATGCTGGTTCCTGGGATATCCGTGACTCCGCGTGCCATTCGAAGGGCGTGGAGATTCCCCACCAGCATCTCGAACAATCCAATCCCTTCACGTCATGACTCATACACTTTTTCCTTCCAGGTATATCTATACTCCATCATCCAAATCCCATTGACAATTTCACTCTGCTGTCTCCAATTACTCTTATAACCCATAAAAAAAACATCACTACTACTAAGTAGTAACAATCAAAATGCCTCAATCCCTCCGCTTCCTCACCCTCGACGTCTTCACCACCACCCCCTACTCCGGCAACCAGCTAGGCGTGGTCTTCCTCCCCTCAACCCCGAATACCATCACCCAATCCCAAAAACAATCCATCGCCCAGGAATTCAACCTCTCCGAAACCATCTTCATCCACCCGACGGATCCCGCCACCCCGTCCGTCCGCAAAATCGACATCTTCACCACCGACGAAGAACTCCCTTTCGCCGGCCACCCCACCATCGGCGCCGTCTCCTGGTTCCTGCAACACTCGCCGGATGAGTCCGACAGGAAGGATGTCACGACTCTTCTCACCAAAGCTGGTCCATTCGCTATCTCCCGTGTATCGCCATCTCCATCAAATGATGGTGTAGTAGCCGCTCAAATCGCACATAACGTGCACATCCACTCCTCGCGATTCCCATTGTCAGAGCTACTCAGAATACACCCTTCCCTCAAGCCATTCCTCTCCACCGGAAAGACTACTAGCTTCCCCGTCTTCTCCATCGTCAAAGGCATGAGCCAAGTCCTGGTGGAACTACCCAGTTTGGAAGCGCTAGCTGCGACAGAGCTCCCCGTAGGTGGGGAGGTCATTCCATGTAAATCTGTCTCGCAGGGCGGGTATCTCGATGAAGGATGGCATGGGGATGGTCTGATTGTGGTGTACTTTTATGTTCCTGGTGTGTATGATGAAAAGACTGGGAAGACGGTCATTCGGTCGAGGATGCTGTTGAGGGGGTTTGAGGATCCGGCGACGGGGAGTGCGGCGAGTGGGTTGGCGAGTTATTTGTCTTTGACTGCTGCTGATGCTGCTGGTGCAGAGGGGAAGGTGGAGTATGATGTTGTGCAGGGGGTGGAGATGGGGAGAAGGTCGGATATTAGTGTGGCGGTTAGTATGAAGGAGAAGAAGATTGAGACGGTGGAGTTGAGGGGGAGTGCGGTGAAGGTTATGAGTGGGGAGTTGGTTGTTTGATTGATTCTATATAGGTGGTGTTTTGTGAGAATGAATAAAGGTCTGAGATTGTCTTCAATAATCTTCATTACTACTAGTAGTAGTACTGGTTCAAGTGGTTAACCTCCGATGAGTAGGGGCTGGAGGGAAGCGTGATAACCCAGGATAACTCAGGATCTTAAGAAATTATCTACAGTTATAGAACGCTACTAATGCTTATTATGTAGTTGTAGTTATGGATATCATAAGTAACTTACTATCTTAACATCGTGAGAATTTATTACACTAGTATTGGTTGGTTACTCTGTGAGTTCCGGTAGACAAATATATATTCATGGCAGTATCACCATAACACTCAACAATATAGGCCAACCCCAAATCATTATCAAAGCCTACCTGCACAGACATAGATAATGAAGATAACATATAATAGATCAATAATACTGCACATTAAGACCCCTATCCACAAAACCCCGACCGATCCCTGCATGACAGGCACCCCGTCCCCACGACCCTCCAAACTAGAGGCGGACGGTCCCACCCCAGCCGGGGAAAAGGAACAGAAACAAGCGGCGACAGAGATAGTCTTAGCTCTTATCTACTGAGTATCTATGATTTACTCTCTATCTGGAGCTCATCTGGTAGCAGGATTATGTAGTAATGTCGTCCACCAAATCCTGGCATCTCGTCGTAGGTTATGATACTAGTAGGTAATTAAGAAAGGAAATAAAGGTCAAGAGAGAAGGGAAAAAAAAATTATACATATCATATATATCTACTCTCCATCCAGGGGAAAAAAAAAAGAACAAAAATTCCCCAAAAATACTCCCCATAAGGGGAAAAAAAGATGATATGGCAAGAACGGGGTTCGAACCCGCGCCTCTTACGAGATCGCATTACCGCCAAACAAATCCCAGCCTAGCCTGTTAAACAAAGCTAAACCAAATAGTTGTTTTTAACGACTTAAGTGCGACGCCTTAAACCACTCGGCCATCTTGCCTGTCTAGTACCTTGTTTTTCCGAAACTTAGGATCATGAGAGGGTCGGGGTGGGTGGGGGTGCGGGAGGAGCAGAGATTCTGATTGGAAGGAACCCATTTTTAAGGATTGGGGGATTGGGGATTGGGGATGAATAAAAAAGTATGACAAGAGTGGGACTCGAACCCACGCCTCTTTCGAGACTGCAATGCTATCCAGCTGTTGCTGGACAAGATATTTCACTTGAGTGCAGCGCCTTAGACCACTCGGCCATCTTGCCTGTTCATGTGGTTTGCTTCGCATTTTGGTATTATATTCTAGGTAAAGAAGAGGGGCGTTGGATAGGATGCAAGGATGCTGTGTATGAACTTACTGAGGCTATGGTGTGTACTATAGTTGTGTGGGAGACTTAATCATCTCTTAGATGTTTATGTAGATCTCTCGCTGGGTTAATTAGTTAACTAACTACATTATATGGTACTATAGTCCGGTTGAGCCTCCGATGGTGTTGTTCGATGGCTATCTATGCAGGCTTTAACTCTTAATATACAGGTGGTACCTTATTATGTGGGTTATCAAAGATAGTCACATTGTCGTCTTCAATGCAAACACCATGTGTATAATAAACAGAGTGTGTAGTAGATAAGTGCTACCAGTTAAAATTTCAATATGACTATTGTGTAGGCTGAGGGTAGTGGTGTTGGTGGTTGGTGCAGATGTAGATGGAATGTCTGATTTGGGGTCGGCTCATCATCCTCCAAAGCAGCTCTTGTCACATTCCACTGTCGGATACATCAATCCAGCTCGTGTTTACCCCTGAAGAAACGAGACGACCGTTTAAGGCTGATCGGGAAAAACTCTACCATTCCTGAGGGATCTCTTCGCGGAACTGACAGGTCGAGATAACCTACACCAAACTGTATCGTGATCTGAGAGATGACAGGTTTTTGCCTTGGGTATAGACCACAAAATAGTTGAGTTAGTCATCAAGGCAAGATGGCCGAGTGGTCTAAGGCGCTGCACTCAAGTGAAATATCTTGTCCAGCAACAGCTGGATAGCATTGCAGTCTCGAAAGAGGCGTGGGTTCGAGTCCCACTCTTGTCATATCTTTTTTGCTCCTATTTTTGCATCCTCCATGGCACCATGCACCCCGTCTCGAGCACACTTCCACTAATTAATTAGGACAGAAGCCAATCTAACTATAGCACCGGGGAAGACACCCGCTAGCTGTCCTAGCTTTTGAATGTGACTACTGACTATGGCATCCTGGACTACGGGGGGATGCACCATGCCGAGACGGAGTAGGGGGAAAGCTAAGTTTGACTGTCGGGAGTCTACGCAGCCAAGTCTAAGCTCAAAAATGGCTAGATCCAGCAGATCAGCACCGTTGGCGAGACGAAGCTGGATGGGATGGGCGGCCGGGGTCCACCAAATCTCTGGGCTAAAAAGGATTTGGGGGTCGGACCCGCCCCGCTAAGTGGATGATCGTGCGGTGGGATTAATCAATAAGCATCAGCAGGTTGGAAGGCCAGGATATTGGACCTGCTCCAGGGAGGAAGTGAAGCTTTTTCGATGCATCAAGTTGGTGTATCGGGCACACCAGAATGGATACGAGGTGATGGCGGCTGTCAGTTAGAGTTGTTGCAAACCTTAGTGTAGGCAGTACTAGACATGGGCTGCGTGGCACAAGAAGATAGAGTGCAGCACCCTGGTTGCTTTTACGCTGACCGGGATCTTTTGATGCAGGCGCCCAGGCCACTGAGACCTGAAACGCCAGACCAGGATGGGTATGCAACTAGTGCGAGAGTCAAACCAGCCCAGATGATCTGCGAGTGATTCGTAGTTCGCGTGAGAGACTAATAGGGGACATCTAACTCTGACTGCTCAGAGGATAAGACAGCGAGGCTTGAGGCCTGTCCAGACCAGAGAGAACAGAGAACCCCTCCCGGCGAAACCCGCATGGGCAATTTGGATGGCGCAGGAAGTGTGTGATGCTTCTGGCCCCAACCGCCACTTCATCAGCACCAAGGCTGGGCAGCCGCATTTCCAATGGCATGACTGGCTAGCAGTCGTGCGGTCGGGTCAATCAAAAACGTGGCGGCCACGAGCTGTAGCCACGCCCAACCTCAGCAAAGGGTTTCAAGGAGGTCTGACATGGGCCAGGCCGGACGTCGTTCAGGATAGAAAGTTACTAGTTAGTTGGTCGTTCTGGGGCCACTCGGCTGGCATGTAGGGGCCATTCAGATTGAGTGTTGGTTGATGCACGAGGCGGAGCGGATGGCGGTGGGAGAGTGACAAGACACGAACACAAACCGGACAGGTATTGACGGGAAGAAACTTTTAGGGAGAGGCGGAGAAGAGACAAAGAAGCGTCAAGGAAGAAGCAAAGAGACGCACAGGGGATTTTTAAGGGAAAAGCAAACTCTCGGTCGGCAGCAGTGGGGAAGAAAACAAGGTGCTTCGATGGATGTTCCTTGCCTGGTGCAGGTTCAGGGTTATGGAATGCGGTAAAATAACTTACAAAAAGTACGATAGGAAAAAGGATGGACAAATGGCAATTGCTGCATCACAATGGGCCATCCAGGGGAGATTTTTTGGTATTTTTCTTTTTTTTTTTCCTTTTTTGTTTTTCCATACTCTTTTTCCATTTCTTTCTTTTTTACTTTTTTTTTACTTTTTCTTTTTCTTTTATGATTTTCTTGCCTTACTGGCTACTGCGCCTATCTGCTGCCTGCAGGTGCAGATTTTCCTTCCAGACCTCTTCGGCGCATCCCTTCTGGCGATGTCACCGACGGCCACCGTCTTAGTGAGGCCCGCTGCTGTTGCTCTCCACCGCAGGCCCAGTCTTTTCCTTCTTGACCTGCTCCATCCAAGCCGTCTTCCATAATCCCATCCTCCCATTCGCATGTCGCCCTTGCTATCTCTTCCCACTTGCCGGCGCGCCTTTCCCTTTCCCTCGTGGGCCCAAGCGGCACTTCTCCTGGTAACCATCCCCTTTTCCGTCGTCTCCATCAGTCCCATCACCAGTAACTGAGTATCTGCTTCACTTGAACAATTTTACTATTTTTTACTTTTTACTTTTTACCTCTAAATTTTATTTTTTATGATTTCTTAATTTTTTATTTGCCAGCAGTTACTCTTACACCCATTCGGTTCACTCACCGCCGCCATTCTCTCTCATGTTTCATATTCCCTTCCACATCTCTTCTACTACTATTTTCCCTTGGTATTATCTCTTCTGTAAACTGTAGACTTTCCAGCTGGTCAGAGCTCGTAAATACGCCGTGTCTTACCGTGCAGCCGGTTCCAGCCACACGAAGGTTTTCCATCCATCGCTTCATCTTGGATTTCTCCAGACTTTCGTCTTCGCTTACCCAGTGCCGACCCAAGAACCCCTCCGACGAACCCCATAGTTTAATCCAAGTCACCTGGGGCCCTCTTGCCTCGTATTGGGAAATATCATATCCCTCTGATCTTCGGGTGGTGTCTCTGCTCTTCTCTTCAAGACCATTTTCTTCCCCCTTTCCCTCGGTTTGCATGGGAGGTGTCTGCATCGTCATTTTTCCTTCTGGCTGGGTTCCAGAACGAAACTTAATACCGTGAGAAGAAGCAAAACAAGACAAACTCAAAACAGTGCAAAGGTAAGAAGAAAAGCCACAAGCCAGAAGCCAAAAGATAAAACAAAAACATAAAGCAAAAGAATAAGAAAGAAAAAGAAAAAGAAAAAGAAAAAGAAATCATCACACCTCATCTACTCTCTCTGCCCCATCCTGGTCGGTTTCGTCAGTTCCGCAGCCTGGGCGAGTAAGGGAACTTCTTCTGTCTGCGCGGTAGTTTTAGTGTACAGGCGACCGACTACTTTCGGCCCGCCTTGCTGGTCAGAAAAGTAACTAACTGAACTCATCATCTCCTCCGGCTTAGGGGCTGCCCCCGTTCCTCTCTGACCTCTCTGGCTGCCGCCGCCGCTGCTGCTGCTGTTGCTGCTACTACTCGGAATTCCATCCCATATTCGACTGCTCGTTTCCGCCCCCCTTCTCCCTCCCAGGCTCTCTCTCGCTCTCGCTCTCTCGCCCTCGCCCTCCCTCTCGCTTCCCCTACCCGACCAGGCCTCCGTTGGTTGTCCTTGTCGGGACTTTTCCAACTGTCTTCCATCTCCAAAACTTTCTTCACCTTTTGACTTCCTGCCATCGTCGCTCTTCATTGGGGTAGGTTTCACTCCTCCAAAGTCTACTGTCTATCTCCCTTTGCGAATCGGGAAAATGAGCCCCTCCGCCCACGTTCCCCCCCCGTCCCAATAGACCTCTGCAGTCTTCCGCAATTATTATTTCCTCCTAACTAACACCTGTCTCATCCTATCTAGGCCTGCATGTTCATACCTCGTCATCGCCTATAAAGTTCCTATCCTTCTCTCCTCCGACCTCCCTCAATCAATTCGCCCCCATCCCCTACTCCCCGATCCCTCTCCCCCTCTCCTCGCTCGAAAAACTTCCACCGGATTTCTGTCGACGACTCCCTCGCATTCATCTTCCACCGTCGAGAGATTACCGTGTTCCAGTGGGATGTTGCTGTTGGTGACCGAGAAAAAGATTTCCAGCGTCTGTGGTTACACAACTGTCTAAATGGGAAACTCGCAAGGGAAACAGGTGGCCGCCACCGATGAGTGTATGTATTGGGTTCCGCTCGGGTCAAGCATGCCATCGGGCGCGTTGGCCGGAGATTCATGGGCTGCGGAGGCTGACAATGGTGCGCAGTGAACTTGAATCAGTTTCGTCTGTTGCGGGTGGTGGGAAAAGGTGCTTTCGGCAAGGTTCGCATCGTGGAGAAGAAAGACACCGGGTTGACGTTCGCGCTGAAATATATTCGGAAAGAAGAAGGTATGTGACTGCCAAAGGAGTGGCCCAATGCATGCTGACATGAAATGCTCTTTTCCTGGATAGTCGTCCGGTCGGAAAGCGTACGAAATATCATCCGAGAACGGCGGATGCTCGAACACCTCAACCATGCCTTCCTTTGCAACTTGAG